TATGATCGTTAAATAGGGTTGGCTTGCCTAACTTATCGGATGAGATTTCAATAAGTATAATACATGATATAGAAAAATGCTAAAACTTTCATTAACTGAATATTCAAAATGATGAGAATGAAGCCATATATAATGAAAGATGAAATATAACCAAAAAGAGGGAACTACATGGTCGCTCAATCGGACTTCAAAGATCTTACCTCATTTAACCATTTTAAACAATAGGTAATCATATCTCCTCGGGTAGTTGTTCATGGTTTCATGATAGTCTTTCACTCTATGTTAACCGATGGTTAGACTCGACTCTTGAAGAGCTATAACTTCATTGAAGACCTCTTTCACTCGATTATCTAGAACAGCTAAGTGTTGGCCTTACTTGAAATTGACTTGAGCCAAGTTGTTATGTATGGTGGCCCAAGTACGAGGATAACTTAAGTAGTTCCCCTTCCAAATATAGGTTTTGTTTCTTAAGTACTGTGATTTGGCATTGAGCCTCTAATATTTGTTCCGTTAACCTTTGATATGACATTTGGCATCTATAGATATTTTCCACTTGACATTATCTTCTTTATGCTTCTATACTTCGCTCTTAGACTTTCTAACTCATGCTCAAGTTGCTTATTTTGCTATTGTAGCTTATCAAACTAAGCACATTTGGAGTCCAATTCTAGTTAACCTTGATAGCAGATTGGTTTCCAATATTCCTCCTTAACAACTATGCTTTGTTAGGTTTCTTAATCTTACTCCAAATGTAGCATCTTTTCTTTATCTTTCTCTCTCTTTCTTTTTTCCTCGACTAAGTCACTAACTAGTTTTAAATTCTCCATTTTGAGCAACTCTATTTTTCTCGTTAAGATCATGGTAGCCTAAAGGAATCAATTCTAAAGGGTCATCTATTTTTTTATTTTTTCTCATATATTGCTAGATGAGACATTTGGAATTTATGGAGAGAATGGTTTGCTTCCTTGGACAACCGACCAGTCTTAGCATTCAATGGTTCAAAAATATTTTTGATCCTTGACTAGCTTGATGATCGTATATCAAAACTTGTCTATCTTAACCTTGGTTTGTTTGATGACCTAAGTCTTTTACCCTTACATCTTGCCACAACAAATAACCCTTAGTAGTGACTATCTCACAACTATCTATTTTACCATTCACCATGCATGTGCTAACCGGTCTTCAATGATACGACTTAAAAAAGTCAAAAAAGCCTTTTTTTCAAATCCCTTCGAAGTTGACCAAACCAACCATTCTCAAAATGCATTGCTTATAGCTAAGTTGCCTAGACACCATGCTGGGAGAATAACTAACATATCCTACTGATCCAACCAAAGGGACCTAAGAAAAAGTTTTATAATAAGCCAAATATGATGCTTGATTCATCCAAACGACCATATAGAGGAATTATACATTTGGCGAGTGTCAAGTAGCATGGCACTTCATTCTCGTTTGGTATGCTTCTTCCATGGTATGGTTGTAAACTTTTTAGTAACTCCTAATCTTTCCAACGGATAGAATCGAAGCTTGATCTATGTACTTTCCTATGACTAACCATCCATATGCACGGTTATTGCATATAACATCTCATCCTTCATTTACCGGATCTTTGATAGTGATTCAATGATAGGATGGTCTTATTTAAAATTACAATAGTGGGATTAACTAAGTTCTATTCTATCTTAATGAAAACATTTACAACATCAAGACTAATCAATCTAGTAGAGGGTAGAAATAAAATTAAATCGAAGATACATAAAGCTAAGACTCAAAATTTCTTTAAACTAGTCATGGGCTCTCTTAAGTTTTGTTTGAATATGCCTAATAAGATTTCATGATGCCATCTCTTATTAGCACCTTTGGCTCATGCTTGACTTAGACTTACACCTAGCCATGTTTTGACCTTATCATTCACTTCTTTGAGTCGATAGTAGAGATAGGCTTGATATGAAGGGCTCTACATTTGTAGCAATGGATGGTGCTCTTCTATTATACGAGTCATAGTTATGTTTTCTATGATTAAACATCGATATGAGGGGTCTCATAGAGAGATGAGAGCCCTCAACATAGGCTTCTAAATTGATATCTTTATTAATACAACAAAGTTTCCATATTTGTACTTGAACACCTATTTATCATCAATAATCAAGAGCTCTCAACATTCAAAGAGTTTATTGGTGTCATTAATCATTGATCGTAGTTTGGTTATCAAGCGATGGTTACTTTGAAATCCTTCTTGAAGCAGTCTCCTCTACTTGCTGAAGGGTTTTGAATTTTGTTTGGAAGATTGATAGTAGCTTAAACTCGTATCCGAGCTCTTTTTTCACCCATCTTAAAACATCGTGACCAAATTATTTTAGTCAAGGTTTCTAACATGTCCGACTTTCCTAGTGTATTTAAACAAGGAGATATCGTCTTAGAGTCCAATTCTAGCCATTTATGAGTGGATAAGCTCTATCTAGGTCTCAAAAGGGTACCTTTTAGACTTGTGAGTGTTTAGTAAAATCACTAGGACTATCTACAATGATATTAGAAATCATAAAAAATCATTGATTATTCATCACCAATAGCGAGTTAGCTAGAAGGCTTGAGGTTTCATGAGTGTTTACCGGAGCGAAACCCATCGAGGCACCAAGTACTAACTATCTAGATCTTGAGGCAAATGTAAATGATAGTTATAGTTATGTAGTGTAGTGTGTGGGGCCCGAATCAATATCCGATCTAAAAAATATGAAATAAAAGGTTAGAAATTAAACAACTAAAGTTACGGGAAAAAATAACACAAACAACACACATATATATACACGGACATGTTTTCATAACACAAAAGCGAGTTAGAAAATTAAATAACAATCACTCAATAAAAATAAATAAGCATAGAAGCAAAATAAAAATAGAGATTTATGAACATAGGAATTCAAAGCTTGATCAGTAGCGGACTCTAATAGAGTCAACATTATGTCATCGTCGACCACTATGAGGGGGAATAAAGAGTCTCCACCTAGCTAATTAAGGAGAACTAAGAAATCCTAAATATACTAGTCTATATAGATATCTAGGTAAATGATCACTATCCTATCCTATCTAAGATAGGCAACATTTTTGCCTATCAATATAAAAAATCTAATTTTTACTTTATTATACTTTTATGCCTATTAAAATGAGTTTATTTTGTTAAAATATAAAATAGGATAGTTTGGAGTTTTGGATATAAAACAAGATAGTTTTAGGGTTTGGATATAGAACATGGTAGTTTTGGAGTTCGGATATAAAATAGAATAGTTTAGGGATTCGAGGCTAGTATAAGGTTAATACCCCTACTCAATGGGGAAAGGTGGGAGGAAGTTGGAATTTCGACTAGTCTTTAGTGAACATGACCTATTATCAACAAATATGTGAGTTTTTAAAGATAGATAGCCTTTTATTAGTACGAGTAGTGAGTTTTTGATGACTTCTCTCATAAAAGTGGAAAACTACTAACGACTTCGAGTAATGAATTTAGGAAGCTACCGACAACTTTATTACACAAGTGTGAACTTATCAATAGCTTTAATTTTTCTCAAGCAATGAGTTAATAACTAGTTTAGAAGCCACCGATGACTTTATCACATAAGTGAGAAACGCTCGACAACCTCATTTCGGACAAGTAGGCAATAAATAAAATAATCTTGAAATCACTAGTAGCTTTGTCACATAACCGAAAAGCTACCGATAGAGTCATTTTGAGAAAAAGCAAAAACAAATAAGATTGGTTTGAGGGCCACTATTGGCTTCATCATATAAGTGAAAACTCACCGATGGGTTCGTGATATAAGTCGAAACTCATCGACGACTTTGTTTCAATAAAATAAAAAACAAGTAAAATTATTTTGAAACCAATGATGACTTCATCACATAAAGGGGAAGTCATTGATGGCTTCATTTTAGCATTGTAATCGAGGCACGATAAGTCAACCAAACTACAAAAACAAGCATAAATTTTGCATTAAGCACATGTGTAAAAAAGGAAAAATAGGGTAGTTTATCTTTAATGGCCATTACAACAATATTCACTTCAATCATATTTAAATCATGAATATTTAAACAAAATATGACAATTTCATTTATATTTTTAAGTAGTCTAGTCATTTTTTATTCCCATTTTTAAGGATTTAGTGGTTTTAGAGTTTACCCAAAATTTTTTGTAATTTAAATGTTTGAAGGTCGGTTCTACTCTTTTCATCCTTAATGATAATTGATGATTTAGTTAGTCGGGAAAGGAGAGTAGTTGTTTATTGTCAAAATATTATATGAATCTCATCAAACCGACCAAAATTCTCTCTAAAGTAAGTGCAAATGGCCAAGGTTGCTATTCGTCGTTAAAGTTACTATAAATTTTCAAAATCCTAGTAATTTGGTAGATTTGGCAACAAAGGTTCTGTTGGTTTTTCTTATCCAAAAATTAATATAAATATAGTCTACAACATCAAGTTTTTCTAGTCAAACATAATCCAATAGGAAAATTTTGTTTCTTTATGTTCTTTTTTAAGGGACTGAAGAAGAGCGAAGTCGAGGCTATGGCAAAACCTTAGTTGGCTCGTTAGTATTGTATGGAAGCTATCCGGGCATGTAATTGGAGCTATTATGTGGATGTTGGTGCAATAAGGACTACTACTACCAAGGCGTGAGGCCTGCTAGGGTTACTATTGCATGGGCATGTAGGGCATTAAGGCTATGGAGGAAGGGATACTTTTGTATGTGTGGTCGATAGCTTATTTGCTCGGGCATGGGGTTATGTTGGTTGGGTAGTAGCTATGGAGGGAGGCTATTTTTGCATGTGAAGTTGGTGGCTTATTTGATTAGGTGAGGAGTTGTGTCTAGGTGTATAAGGGGTCGCTACATAGAGTACGGCTAGGTGCATGAACGAGGGATGGAGCTTAGATGTCTATTGTGTAGATAGGCTCTATTTTATGGGTATGTAGCTGGGCACATATGTGAGGGGTGTTTCTATGCAACTAGTTATGCATGCGAAGAAAAGAAGTCGATGGGGCATGTCCCATGTATATGAGGAGGAGTGGTTGGACGTACAGTGGTCGTACGAGGAGCTACCGAATGGGCATGCATCTAGGTACGTGAGTGAGGATTAAAGCTTTGATGTTACGCAAGAGTCGCTATATGGGGGAGAAGCTGGAGCTTGGGTGTTGTGTAAGAGTTACAAGGAGGAGCTACTGTTTAGAGGAAAAGTCGAAGCTTGGGTATATAGCTATGCGGTTCGGGTTAGTGTTGGTAAGGGAGAGGTTACAAGTGAGAGTTCAAAAGAGGAGGCGATAGAGGGGTTGTAGTGGTTTATAAGGAGAAAGGCTGCAGGTAAGGGAGAGGAAGGTGAAAGTCGGAGGTTTTTACTGTAGTTGAACGAGAGAGATGGCTAGATGCTTAAGGTTATCATGAATAATTTGTTAACCAAAAAAATGGAAGGCTTTTATAGGTATTTTATAGGTTTTTTGATAAAAATTCAATTTGGTTATTGATTCTCCACAATCCATCAATTTAAGTTTGATTTTTGTTTTTGTTTCGATGGGAACCTTAAATTTTAATTAATTAGGGTTTTTATTTTTGATTTTTTCCAATTATGCCCCTCTTTAATTTAAATACGGAACTTAAGCCTTTTTTAATTAGGCCCTCAATTTTTTTTCTAAACTTTTTTTTTTTAATTAGCCCCTTCCTAAAATTAATTTAAACTAATTGCTTTAATCGATTTGATTTTTTTATTTTTTATATTTTATTTTTATACTCATGGTATTTTGTTTTGTTTTATCATTTTTTTGGCGTTTTTGCAATAAAAATAAAAAATATAATAGGAGCAAAAATTAGTTGATAACAAGTGTCTATGTCTCCTATTACTTACCTAAAAGTATTGTCATAAGCCCTTACCATCATGTTACTTGGGCATTTATAGGAAGCATCCACCAACAAATGATTTAGGATATGTAAAGGAAAAACATTTAGGGCTAAATTGTTATCAATTAAAACCTTAGCAATCAAATGATCCTTACACTTGACCGTGATATGCAATGGTTTGTTATGACCAGGTACCTTTTAGACCCGGTTTGTCTTTAGAAAATGACGGATAATTAGTAGCTTAGATTCTTCCCACCAAATTTTCTATGCTACCTTCGAGAGATGTATGCTTCATTCAACACTTTTTCTAATACTTATTAGTGTTGTTTAGAAATTAGAGTAAGTGAAAGTAGAGAGCTCTAGCAAGCATCTTCTTTAATTGGTCTACCATATTATAATCATACTTTTTCATCACTTTCAAGAATTCAACGGCTTCATCATCATCCATTGGTCCGTTTACGTCTCTTACTTTGGCAAGATCTAGAACTTTTTTACCTTTCGCCTTTCTCGATATTTCTAACTCTTTTGGCATAAAGCGTCTCCTAGTTTGAGTAAGGCCAGCAATATCGATCCTAGAAGATAAGTTCATTATTGGATACATATGACCTGCTACATTATATGTTGGAGCTAAATGGTTCTTCGACATTGAGATAATCATTTTTTGGGGCTCGTTGCTTGTTAGTTGATATCTGCATACCTTAGTATCGTTCATTTCTTATAGAGAGAGCATCCCTACAATTAGTTCTCATTAACTTTTCTTAACTCACGGGGTTCTTAAAATAATCATGGTTTCCACCTCATTATGAAACTTCTTATAGTCATCGATATCATATCCTTGCCTTTGATGGTATCGATACTATTAACTCTCATCACATCCTTCTAGATTATTGATAAGTTTTTTTAAGATAAATTATTTATGATAGTATTGAGCGGAGCTTATCCATAGACACCTTAACATATTTTCTTCTATCAAACCCGACCTTCTTAAAACTTATTTTGCTTACCTCTCCTCTTCAAGCAATATGGTTTGAGAGAGGATTAGTATTGATGTTTAGGGTACTTGGGTCATCAAAACTTAGCCGTCCATACTTGATGAGAATCTGTAGTTTTTTTTTTAAAGCTAAATAATCTTCTATAGAATATCATGTGATGCTTCCGTGATATTCACATCGTTCATCTTTCTTATGTCATAAAGGGTATAGAGGTCTAAATGGTTCTGTTAGAATTAAGGTCACTTGTCTTATATTGATCATGTGCTTAGAACAACTCCCTTAAAAGAAAAAGAGAAGAGGTAGGGTTTAGAAGTCTTCTATAGTGTATTGGTTACTATGGTTAGATTAGTTATGTGGTGATTGGTTGTTAAAATTCGGAGGACTATAGAACGGTATGATCGAATGAGGGAACTAATTATTTTGGTAAGCTAAGGTTATTGGGTAGTATTGATGTGGTGGGTTTGGTGGGTATGGTTAATATGTTTGGTTTGATTTATGTGATCGTGTTTGGGTGGTAGAGAAGGTAGTAACTATTAAAGCTATTTGATGGAATGGTTAGGAATAAGGTTATGGTTAGATAAGGTAGTGGCTTTAATCGGTATATCTATTTTGGTTATTCTAATGGTTTTTTGGTTGGTGAGTTTTCACTTGATGGACTTTTCCCTCTCTTCCCTTGATGCCTACATCGATTTTCTTCTCTCGTTCCTTTAAAGATCTTCCCTAATTTGATTGCTAACTCAACTCACTCAATAATGATCATAATGTCGGTAAAATTCAAAAAGGAATTATCAATCAAATATTCAAAGCTAGGTGACTTAAATGTGTTAGAGAATATTGAGAATAGTTTTGACTCGGGAAGAGGTGGATGAATTTGAATTACTACTTCACACCACCTTTGTGTATGTTCTTTGACTATCTCATTTGGTCCCTTCTCCATGTCTTGTAGATTAAAAAAATTTGAGGCTACCTCTATATTAAACTTTTACTACTTGATAAAAACATCGACTGTCTTTTCATTTTCTAATCTTAGCTCTCTTAAGCCTTCTATATGAATTTAGTGCTGATCCTCCCAAACTTTCATAAAAGAAGTATATTGATAGCTTTTCATCATATACTATTCCAACCATCTTATTATAGTAAACCCTTAGGTGGGTTATAAGATGTTGAGTGTCGATGTATTTAATGAATTTTGGTACTTTGAATTTCTTCGAATTACCACGTCGGGCATATCTCCATAGCTTTTACAAGGTCGTAAATGTTGACCCTTTAGATAGCCCTGCGGTGTTCCTCAATGGTAGATAGTTATCTATGTTTAATCTCTTTGTTACCTTGTACTTGGTAGTTTCTTCACTAGTAAGGTCTACGGTAGGTACACCAAACATCTATAGAACTCATGGATCCATAACGAAAGCAAACTATATAGTAGGATAAGAAGTCTTGATATGGAATATTATTGCCCTTGTGTTTTTGTGTGGTGTAGTGGGTGTTTTAGGCTACAATTAGGCATCTCATTATGAGCATGTCCTTGGTTCGAACCATTTCCCCCATTCGGAGAATTTTCATGGAGGTCGGTCAAACAGGTGATGTCTCATTTTATAGATTCAAGCTCCTATTGGTCAACTTGTTCCAACAATACTTTTTCTTGATTTTCCATTTATCGATATTTGAGTCGGGTATGGTGGATGTTAAAAGAGAGTTAAGCTTTGACGAAGCGATTTATATTTCGAGTTTTAGTAAAAAAAAACTCAAAGAGATATGTACAATGAATATATAATATATACATATATGATGTGAACTAAATTGAATACATTGCTTTATCGATTGAACACTAAATCATGATAAAGTTTGTATCGAAGATTGGCCGACTTAGATTTAATACTCATTGAGGGTTCAACCTCATAGACATTTGAGTAATTCAAGAGACATATCTATCCCATTTTGGTCATGAGTGAATCTTTTGATATGTTGAAAAGATTTAAGCCATGGTAAACAATATTGAAAAAATCTCAAATTTAAACTTCTAGCACATTCTGAATGTGACTTAAAAAAAAAATTTTATTAAAGAAAAATGAAGTATAACTTGTCTCCTATTGCATAGACTCGAAAATAATTAAGCATAGCTATTACATCAACTAAAGTTTGGACTTTTAGCACTTTCTAACTATGACCTATAGCCATTTTTAAAAATAATAAAAAATTATAATCATGAAAACCCTTACTTCATGGAGATTCTTATTTTATATTTTGTCATAAACTTAAACTCTCATAAAAAGTAGCTCCAATTATAAGCTTTACGAGCTCGTCGTAAAAAAGCTAGACTTTCTCATTAGTAGGATGTATCTTGTCAACTAGGTGCTTGATGGTAGACCTTATCCGTATGGTGTAATTTTTGACATTTTGAGCTCGTAGGCGATAATCCATGATTCTAGACCCTCACTCGGCCACTTCTTTTTTCAAAATGTCTTTTTCCTTCATCATAGTTTTGGTGGTTAGATCATACTCTTTCTAAGACATAGCTAATCTTTCTTGGTTAACCTTATCCCTCCTCTTAAATTCCTCCACGTGAGTATTCGGATGATGTATTATTTCAACTTGGTTTGTCATCCGCTCTCGAGTGGAATCTTTGAATTCCTCAAGATTAACCCATTTATTCATAAGCTTATCAATCTCTGCTTCAAGTCCTATCTTCTTGTCATTAAGACTAGCATGTTCCTTAATAAATGAAGTTATGAGATTGGTTGTGCTATCGTACTTCATATTCGGTGATTGATGGTCCGCTCGTAACTACCTTATAACTCCTTTAGTTTGTTAAAGCCGAGGCTTAAAGCTCTTTTTTCTACTTCTAAGGCATCCATCATATGGTCCTTAGCCTTAAGATTTTCTTTTATCTTTCTCTTCTCTTCTTCAATTCTTTAATCTAGGAGTTCGATTTTCATTATAAAGCTCATGTTGAGTGTTCACCTTCTAGTGGACATCATTCATTATTTCATTCATTAATCATGATAAACCCTCAAATGGAGAAACTTAGTATCCTTTTTCTCTAGCTTATTTCCATTTTGGGTAACTAGGTGAAGTCTTTCCATCCATTCTTCTTGCTAGGGTGATGATCCCTTTGTTCTTTCAAGTGGTCTCGGCCTCTTCTAAGAATTTTTAGAAACTTTGAGGTTTTCATGACACTCAACCAATGCGGTAGTCCGCAAGATGAACTATTCAAAACTTAAATGTCTCGAAACATATTTAATCGGTAGCTAATATAACATCTAGCTTTGATTAGTGGTACCTAGAGAAAGTTACTATAGTTGGCCAAGTAAGATCAAAAGAAGGCATATTATGCTTTCTAGTAGAATTTTATCCATTCTAAACCGAAGAACATTCCGATCTTTGTGGTCTTGCCAATCTCATTGAGTGAGTGATTAGCAAATTTTTCTAATTTAGCGTACATAAGCCATAGT